ATGCTGACCTCATGATGCTGGTTAACTTTTGTGGTCGTCGATTCAGCACCGAACAGGGACTGTCTGCATAGGGTCAATGCCTTGTGCACGTCTCTCAGGTGACTCCATTTTGGGTCTCTCTGCAAACCGAACTCATCAAGAGGGGCTTCATCGTAATATCGGGTTGTACTGAAGGCAGAGCTTGTTCTACCAAAATTTGTTCCACCATAGTACTACACACAAGTTTCAGATTGAGTTGAGTGAGAAGACAAACTCTCTATCCATAACTTCGTTTCATAAAACAAATTTGCTAGCTGGCTAGCTATATATATAGCATCATAAGGTTTTCATTACCATATAGTAGTTCATCAAAGAGCCCCTCTTAGAGAAGAAACGGGCAACTGAGAAGGCAATGTCTTCTGCTGATCTTTGCGATGGTGGATCTCCAAACACCCTATACCTGTAGTTTCAATTGGGTTAATTGATGTTCACGAAACATTACAAAAATACTTACTTACAATGTTGATCAGCAATGAATATACTTACTGAGCAGTCCAGTTTTCAGTCCACAGGACAGGCTTGTCGGGTTTGTTAGGGCCTGTAAAGGTATCACCACAGTGTCTTCCATTGCATGCATTTACCTGGAAATTCACGCAAAATCTAATTTAACTCTATAAAACCGATTTATGAGATAAGTTTTGTGTGTAAAATCTAATTTAATCTTGTAAGATATGTTTTGCATCCAAAATCTAATTTTTCCCAACCGTTTGTAATATGTATACACGATTCCATGAACTTACCACTGGATCAGGAGCATCCGTTTGTTTGCACATGATCCATGGAACTCCAACATCCAGTGCAACTGCCAAATTTGCAGCCCATTGGACGTACTTATCTCCGTCCTCTCTAAAAGCGCGTTGGATATGGTTGTACTCATTCTCGATCTGTATTATAAATCAAATGCTGTGAACACTACTTTGCTTATACTATATCTTGTGAAGTAATTAGCGTTGGGAGATTTTTTATTATGTTGATAATATTCAGAACCTGTGCCAAGATGATGGGGCCTCCTTGGGGAGCGAAGAGCTTCGCTTCTTTACATAACTTTATAACAGTTTTTGTATATTCTTTCATGTATTTCTGCAAATTAGAAATCATTTTAATAATCTTCAACTATATTACCAGGAACTCGAACCTCACGTAAGCTTGATTCATACCTTAAAGGCTTCATTGTTTGAACGGAATATGATATCAGGAACCTCTCTTAGCCAATACGGAAGTCCTCTGATGCATCATCAACATTGAAGGAAATTAATTATCATCATATGAGACAGCGACGAACAGGTATTATTTGTAGCTCAGAACATGCATTTCATTTCAGAATTTTAAATTCAATAAATAGCATACCCGTGATTCCATTCGGCTTGGATGAAAGGTCCAACCCTGAGGGTAACATACATTCCTTTGTCATGACAGAGCTGCATGAACTTCACGAAATCATACTCCGGATCCACTTTGAACTGCAAAATCAGAGAACAAACCACCATTTAGACCAGCTGAAATATTCATTAACGATTCGTGTATGCAGCTAGTAGTTCGATCTAGTTCCAGAAACAATTTTACCTTGCCATGTACAGGCTCATGAACGTTCCAGAAGATGTATGTTTGAATCACGTTTATACCTCCACGTCTAGCTTTGTCAATAATCTGTGGCCACATCTGAAAACGTACACCCAACAAAACCATTTATTTGTTCATCTATACCGAGAAATTGTTGCATGGTTTGGAATCCTCACGTTCACACGTAGCATGGAGTTGAATATTTTATATTACAACAAAAATTAATTAATAAAGTTCAACTGCATGTTACGTAGAGATTCACTGAGATCATATAGCATGCATTCAGTACAACAATTTCTGCATGTTACGTGATGAAGAAGGTACCTCAGGGGGACTTCGAGTGTAATGGACGGAACCGGAGAAGAGAAGCTCCCGTTTTCCATTGATGATGAGCGACCTTCTATCGTATGTGACTTCCTTATTCTTATTCTTCTCTGCGCTGGTAACAGTGATGAAAAGCAAGGTAATCAAAGCAAGTTTGATTGTCGACATGTTGAGATTGTGTGAGGGCAAATAACTCGAAATTGATTAATCAGATGGTGTAGTTGTTCTGAAACTGTTTCCACAATTCCATCAGCCACACTTACGTAGTGAAACAACAGACAACACATGATGTTGTATATAAGGTGTTGGAGGAAACCTCGGTTTCCTTTGTCAAATTTCTGTTAGGAATCATTGGTCATGGTTAAGCTTTGTCTACGTGTCGCTTAAATATGTTGCTTTCTCCTTCTTTCGCTGCTAGCTACATAGTATTTTTCTTTGTAAACTATACTATTATTGT